TACTGGTTGCTTAGTGTTAGTTTTAGTTTTAGTAAGACTTTTGCGGATCTTGCAACACAAGTACGTCATATAAGTGCCGAAGATTAGAGGTGTTACAAGATAGTAACCCACCCCGCAGAGATAAAAAGGGGGGAAAAAACGATAGATATTTGATAGGAAATAAGGTGCAAATCACCCCAGTGCACCCTCCAACCACCCACGATGCTTAAAATTGTTTTCATACTTTCATGTTGTGTTACTATGTCACATTGAAAAGTTTGACCGTGGGTGGTTAGCGGGTGCTTTAGTGTAGTTTGCTCTTCTTTCTTATCATATCGTCCTATCTCTCCTCCTTGTTTTTTGTGTTTGTTATTCTTTTGTAAAACATCTAATCTTCGGTACTAATATGACCTTATTATGTTGCAATTGCCGTAAAACACTTACCAAAACCTAAAGTATGGCTCCAACGCTGCTATGTGCTTTAAGCTCTTTACAACCAGTCATAGATTATTATGGAACACTTATTTTTCTGCTGAGATGAGTAAGGTTTTCTTTTCTGTTTATTCGTCGCTCATGGTTTTAAAGGCTCCACTTGTAGGTCCTACTTCTGTTCTTTCTTTATATTATTTGTTTGTCTAGCGTGCTTTTTATGCAGAATGATTAAATGACCTTCTTCATGTCAATTTTAAATCAAACTCATTTTTTTTTCTCATTCAACTCACCCTACATGTGGTTGACAGGTGCTTTGATGTGGTTCGTTCCTTCTTTCCTATCAAACACTAGTCGTCCATATCTCCCCTTTTTTCGTGTATTACTCTCAAGTAAAACATTTAATTTTTGGCACTTTTATACTGTGTTGCAAGTGCCGAAAGTAAATTTAATCAGTGTTTAAAGTCATTTGCCCACATCACACCACATCATATACAACACTTATTTGTTATAGAAAGTTTCCATTATAATGAAATAGTACAGGCTGTGCACATATCTTCAATCATGGTAAGCCAAACATTGCATATTCCTGCCGCTGGGCCGAGTCAGGATTGGGAACAAGAACCGTAGAACGCTAACCGAAACAAATAATTAAACTCACCTCAATGCCATAGAACGCTTACCAAAACTAATAATTAAACACTCCTCAACTGTTTCGTTTTTCCTACAGGTTCCAGAGATCTGCCATCCTCGCCATGTCTCGGGCATACCTTCTCATGCTTCAGGGCAGCTGGTTCTGGGCAGTGGGCATCATCTTGTACGGCCACGGAGATGAGAACACGGTCTGGGATATGAAGAGTCACGAACACGTCATGCTGTCCACTATCTACTTCAGGTATTTCTATAATGTTGTTGTTGTTCTTCTTCTTCTTCTTCTTCTTCTTGTGTTGTTGTTGTTATTGTTGTTGTGTTGTTGTTGTTGTTATTGTTATTTTTGTGTTGTTGTCGTTGCTGTTGCTGCTGCTGTTGTTGTTGTCGTTATTATTACTAGACACAAGCCCCTTCTCCTCCTCCTCCTCCTCTATGAACGGTGATATAGTGATAGGAAAGTCCAAGATAAAATGTTTGTACCGGTACCTGGTTCATTGCCGTAGGACCTCTGTGTAGACAATATTGCTGGTATATGCGCCATCTGGAACTCCGTCCTGGGCAGCAGGTCTGTTTGCATGAATTCTAATTAGTCCCTGGACCCAACACGACTTATTGCGACATATAATTGTCAATCTGAAAAAATCGCCCTGTAAGAAAACCCCTATCCTTTTCAAAGTCTGTCTCTGAGCTTTGTTGGCAGTCAAGGCAAAAGCCGGTCTAACCGGAAATTGTTTCCGTCGCATATGGAAGGGAAATACATGTATGTTGTCTGAAGGCATGAGGGGAATCCTTGGGATAAAAAGTCTCTTTCCGGCATGTGGACCGCAAGCAACGACTACATCAATTACATGTTGATGAAGGTTTTGAACCACATATCGAGTCCCGTTGCAGTGGCCGTTTGTGGGATCCAAATTTCTCAGCAACATGACAATGTCAGTTTGTGGGGTGGCATACCTGACGGACATACAGAATTTATAAATTCGATGGGGTATTGGTGTTCATTTTTTTTCACCGAATCACTGCTCCTGTAGACTTTTTCTTCTCCGGGAAAGGACTGCATGATCAGGCTGTTGATTTTGTCTACTTCTGTGTTGGTGGGGCAGATGATGCAGCTCAGGGTTTGTGTTAGACTGCAAGTTACCGAAGACAAAATTTATCAACTCCAGTTCGCTTTTCACTGTGATGTCATCTGGCTATTTTATGGCAAACTCCCCGATTTGCTTGCATACGTTGTGTTTGCCATCTCCAATGTTCAGTATATAATTGGAGAAATCAACAGTCTCACCTGTAAGCAAAATTTTCCTCATGCTTCTTGTCAGTCTGAGCACGTTAACATGCTCCCACAGATATGATGATTTCAGGGTTGCATTGACTATCTGTGATCTTGAGCAATGGCGAACTACTGGTAGTATTTGGCGCAAGTCACCCAACATCAGCACAATTAGCCCACCGCACAGAGAGTTATTCCCACATATGTCTTGAAGTGTTCGGTCTATGGCTTTAAAAGATGTGTTTGTGGCCCATCGATACTTCATCAATGATTTGCAGCTGTTTGGCGTGATTAAGTGCCACTGGCATCTCGGGGACCTCACACTGCACATGGACTGTTCGTTCACACTCAGAGGTATTTTGCATCTGCTGTGTAATGTTCTGCCATTTGAGAGCAGAGTTGCTGCAATGCCTGACAGAGCTGTAGCAAGGGCGATCTTCTTAAAGGAACGAACAGCCGCAAGAATCAGGTAATCAGGTTTATAGTGTGGGATTTCCCAGTCCCTCCACTTGCCTCCAGGGCAAATATCTTGTCTTGTTTCTGTACAACTGATTCTATCACAGCGTCATACAGGACTCTTTGTTCTTCATTAAGCTTGGGTATTCTTGACTCACCTTCTCTCGCACGTTTTTTGGTGTCAAAATTTAACTCCTCGTGGACAATTCTTGGTTGTTCTCCCTCAACGTGACTGTGTTCTGTAGGTGGCAGCTGAAAGTTTTTATGCAGATTCAACCCATCATTATCAAGAATGTGCAGAAGTTGTAGCAACACTTGGTTCTCAATCTGCGGATTCAACTCTGTGACCTTGTCTTTCATCATGATGTCCCGGCACAGTTCCAATTTGTGCTTGTGCCAAAATGAGAGAGGATCCGCTGGGCGACAATAAATGAGAGTGGTTGTAAAGGCAAGACGTAACTGGGGTCCAAATCTTATGGGAGATGCTTCTTGCATTGCTGCATCCTTCTCAGTGTCACCATCGAGCAGTCCAAGTTGGTTGCATGCGCCTTGGTAAGATGTGCAACTTGATCCATTTACTCGATGAAGCACAATATGAAACGGAAATTTAAAAAAAACGAATATTACGTTTGGCAATAGAAGTAGCTGAAATAGAACTATGTGGCATACACACACGACAAAACACAATCGGCATTTCTGTTCTTGCTAACTGCTGCTGCTGCAAAAAAGAACAAATCTGTCGCATACACACGACAAAACACAAATCGCACTTGTGTCCGGGCAAAGATAGTACAAGACGTCTTGTACTATCTTTGGTCCGGGTTAACTACTCCAAAAAAGTAGAACTCTGTGACACACACACGACAAAGCACAAATCGCACTTCTGCTCTTGCGAACTACTCACTTGCACGAAGAAGCACAATATGAAACGAAAGTAGTCCCCAGTAAAATATGAAATAGCTAATGGCAGAGTGAAAACATCTGAGAACTTCGGTTTACAGGAAAAACCATCAAACCCAAAAAATCAAAAGATAGTTTCCGACCTTCGAAAATATGCCCACGTAACCCTTTGGGGCACTTCTTGTCTGAATCATATTTTTGTAGATTTTATGGGCACCTGTGTAAAAACGTTTTACTGACCCCAGAAACGGGCTTAGCTCCATTATAATGAGAAGATATCGTTGTTGTTGTTGCTCTTGTTGTTGTTGTAGTGTTGTTGTAGTAGTGGTTGTTATTGTTGTTGTCCTTCTTCTTCTTTTCTTTTTCTTCTTTTCCTCCTCCTCCTCCTCCTCCTCCTCCTCC